CCCCCCCCCCCCCCCCCCAGTCCTGTATTATGTGTTTGAGACCCCACAACCCATCCAGTCCTGTATAACAGACAGTAAGTTTTTGTGCCCCCCCCCCAGTCCTGTATTATGTGTTTGAGACCCCACAACCCCTCCAGTCATGTATAACAGACAGTAAGTTTTTATTTTGACTCGATCCACTTCCCACTTAGACCTGTATTATAGACAGTGTTTTTAACCCCTCAAACTCAGTCCTTCTCATTTGTTACAAACAATAAGTGTTTTTTACCTTGAACAGTCCTGTATAGACAGACAGTAGATATTTTTAACCCGCCCCTCCAATACACACCTTACATCTTATTTCAAATTCTTCATTATGCAATTGTTTTTTCATCAGGCTGATTTATGTTTTTTTTCCTATCTTGTAGACGATATGTGTCAGGAACATGGGGAATGGGATCTTCAGTTGCCTATCGCACATGGGGAAACAATGGTGCAGACTTTGCTGATGACGAGGTACAGTTAAGACGGGTCTAGTCTGTAATGTCAGTTGATACTGACTAGACGTTCAATATTCTGATCACTGTTTGATATGCCTACATGAACCAAATTGAGGAAAGATTATTGGTGAAAATCCTTCTGGTGTATCAATATATAAAATGATCTTAGCGAAAATTCCAGTCATGTACTGATATAGCAAATGATTATTCGGAAATTTCTCCTTATGCGTAATGATATTGAATGTGATAATTGGTGAAAATTCTTCTGTTTGTACCAATATAGAAAATCCTGATTATTGAAAGGTCTGGTCATGTGATGGTATAGGTAAGGATTGTTAGTGATATGTCTCTTTGTGAACGACATAGAAAATGATAATATGTGGAGTGCAATGAAGAATTTTGTCAGAATTACATTCCATTATTAACATAACTATGCCCTATAACTAACAAAATTACGCCCCTTCATTAACAATTATACCCCATCACTAACACAATCTTGCCTCTTCGCTAACTTTATGTCCTATCAATATCTAAATCACGCCCCATCTCTGACATAATATTGCGTCATCAGCAACATAATTGTGATTTTGCCCCAGCCATTAACATATAATCGGCTCCAATTGTTTATGTCATTCTGACCTATCAGAAATGTATAACTATACATCATCGGAAACATGATTACCTCTCTGATACATACACACGGTAACGGTTATTTTAATTTCCCCTGGTTTGAAATCTGTCCATTTCATATAAAATGTCATTTACTACCATGCATGTTGTTTTTTCACTTGTAATCATTTGATTAATTCATTGTGAATATACCATTATTAAACTTAATGTCCCATAGTGAATGACCAAGCCATCTTGGTTTAACGACAGGTATAAACCATAGCGGAGTTTCCTCTGGCCCTGACACAAGACTTCGACATTTTGACAGATAGAGCGTGGTGTGGGTCACAATGTCTAAGTCTGGTGTCAGGGCCAGAGGAAACTCAGGCTAGTGTATACGTACATGTACACCAATACATGTGTGTACTTTGTAGATTTTCAAACATTACCTCTGGAAGTGTAGATTTCAGTAGCCTATTATTTGTTGATGTATTTTCTATATGAATACATGTATGTGTGTATTTAAGTATTGAATATGTATATGTTTATAACAAAATGTCGCATTTACTTTTCATTTGTTGTAAAACCTGAGATAATGAACGGACTTTTGTCAGCCTTTACCGTTTTCACACGACTAACACTGATTAAACTTGTCCTCTAACGGTGCCTGTCATCATTGTTAAAATCCTTAAAACATGTTACATCTAGTTTCACAAAACTCCCTTACCACATACCTGTCCATATGGATTCTTGACAAGTTATTTCAGGTTGGTCCATGGATAATTATTAATTAATGATTAATCGAGTTTGGAATCTAGGCCATAAACAAGTACTTTGACATGGTTGTCCTTCATAAAATGTATTAAGTGCCCATGTACTTAAATAATTGATAGTTTTGAGAACTTTTTCATAAAAAAAGCTAAAAACTAGAAAGTACAGATTTTAGTGGAAGTTTATTTCCTTGGAGACCATGTCGTTTCAAGTATCGGTGACATACTTTTATGGAGTATTGATTGTCCCCAGGTTATATTATGTGCAATTATATGATGTTAGATGAAAATGACTGACATTGAAGTCAGTTATTTTTACGATGATATTATCTTTAATGGAAAATCAGTGAGGGCTACTTTGGAGGAAGTGTCTTCTGTAGTAAATTATAGAAAAGTCAATGTGAGGTCTGACACAGTGTTAGGTGTGCTAATAGTATTATTGCTGATTTCCCTGGTATCCCTGACATAAACTGGTGCATTGCAATCTAATATCATCTGTACCTAACTAAGACTTCCTGGTCTACTCCCGATTACCTGGTTACTACCTGTTCCAGTTATTACCTGTACCATACAGGTATTACACAATACCCGACTAGGTCACACCTGGCAAGCATCAGTCTGTACATGTAGTCTGAGCCAGTTGGATATGTTTTCCCCCAAAATACAATTGAGAACTTGCTATAATACTTCTACAGTTACAGGCACAGCCGGTAAACAGCCAGATTTATTTTTTTGAATTCATATATACTGGTAAATGAAATTGAAATGTTTTTTGATATTTTATTATTACTGTAAAGTGGACGCCACATCATATCATATCATAGTTCTTTATAGTACATTTCAGTTAATAACATGTTTTTCTTAAAATACCACTTCTTCCTTGGGACTTATTTTTGTTTTATATTTGCTAGTTGCACACATGTTGCTTATAAAAATTACCTGTGTAGACTTAAACTTTTGAAAGGTGATATTCACTCAGCTTATGATGGCTCCTCTAGTCCATTTTGATACTTAGGCTTGGTGTAGAATGCCTTCTTTGACCTGCATTTATAATGTTAAATATGTAGTTTTTTAAAAAGCATTTCTTTAAAAATGATGTACATAAACATAAAAGGACATAAACACACTTTAAGAAATATTATCCTAAACTGTTTGTGTAGTGTCACAGTTGATACTATGTAATCTTTTCAGCAGTGCGATGATGCATACCACTAGTCATACCGTTAAGGGAAACTCGATATGTGGTATTATTTAATTTCCATTTGCTATCTTGAATATATTGACCAGTTTGCATCAAACTACAGGATGTTTTTCAATTTAAGATAAGACATAATTAGAGCTTAATTTATGCTGTTGTTGCACTTGGTTGAATTCTGATTGGTCAATAGTTTCTACAAGCTAGCCTATTTGTACAAGTTAAGTGGCTTTCTCCAGACTATGCCTTGAAGGCTGCTATTAAAGATGATGCTGATCTGTGCATGATTACTGATGTTACAGCTGGTATCTGATCACTGACATGTCATAATATGTGCTTCCTTAGGCTTGCTTCAATATGGACAAACTTTGTCTACCTCATGTGTTTCTGTGTGGTACAGGTAGATTTTGAGGGTGACCTGTCTCACCTGCTAATCTAGTCTGATATATAAGTGGACACTGCCTATATTATTATTTCCCAATTTTGATATTGCATATTAACTAGTGTGGAACTAACTTTTGGTTAAAATTCATTGCCTTGTTTTATTTCTCTTTTTTACACTTTGCTTTCTAATTTTGCGTTCTTTTCACACATATTTCTGTTATATTTTTATTTTATTCATTTTTATTTTTATTATCATTTCCTTTTTTTTGCTTTTTTTCTCCAGAGAATTTCTATCAACCGTCGATAAGAACATCTTTCACAGCAAAGGACCAAACTCAACACATGCCGTTAGTTGTGGACTTTTGTCACTCTTTGCTTACTGTGATCTTTACGATAATCATAATGCAAGGAAGATAGCTCTTGCAATAATGCGCTGTCACAAATATCTCTGTTACTGTAAGTGTTGAAAAGAGGTTCAGGTTTTATATTTAAAACTGCCCCAGTGGTATAGCATATATAATATTACATTCCGAGTTTAGTTTAGGAACATGTACAACCTGGAAATTTGATCATCACATATAGACACAGAAATTTGATTGTGTATTGTAATTTGATGAGTTGGAAAGTCACTTGAGTATAAGGAGTGGCTTGAGCTTTCATATGAGTGGTCAGTTCTTATGAGTGGTCTGCCATGACATAAATCATCAGCTCTCAAGCGAGTGGTCATTTCAGTTGAGTGGTCACCTCACAAATGAATGTGTCAGTTCTCATACAAGCTGTCATTTCTGATGAGATTGGTCAGCAATCACGTGAATGAATATGGTCAGCTCTCATTTGAGTGGTCATTTCTGATAATAGTGGCCAGTTATCACCTGAGAGGTCAGTTCTCATAATGACTGTCTCAAGTGGTCCCATTATAAGGTTCACTCACAAAGACTACCAAGGTAATCACAGGTTGCTCACAATGATCTCTAATGTCACTTTTTCAGAAAAACTGATTCATAATCTGTTGGTCTAAAATATTATAAAAGTTAATTATCAAATCTGCCTTTGTCCTTTGGCAGCTACCAGTACCCTGGTATGTCTAAACTTGTTTTATGATTGCAAGGATAATTAGGAAAATCAGAAGGTCACTGTTACTACCAACAATTATATAAAGTCACTGGTATATAAACCAGCCTTACTCACCAATTTAACAAGTCACAGGTACACAAACCAAAATATACCCACCAACTTTGTACTTAAATCTGTAAACAAGCTCCGTAATATTGAAATATGAATACATGTAATAAGTAAGGTTTTCATCCAGTAACACAGCTCTGCTGTACTTGTGTTTCTCTTTCAATGGTGGTGAATTGGAAACTTCAATAACCATATTGTGATTGTGTCATTGTAATTATCTAAATGAATTAGATTGCATGTTTTTCAAGGGAGATAATCCAGTTTGGATATGTCCCATAATCAATGCTAATATAATCATTATTTTTGGATAATTGTATGTTGTATACAAATAATTATACTTGTAGTTTGTTGTTGATTATTATATGAATGTATCAATGCAAAATCTCACCAAGTGCTCACATTCGTTTTTATATATTTTGTTGTTGTATAAAATATACCTATATACATGTACTTGCAAATTATTTTCCCACCTTTAATAATCCATTATGTATTGAAGGTCATACTTTGTGCCAGTATGACTAAAGCTAAGAACTTTGTAATAGTTCTAGAACTTTCAATGTCAAAACAATTCTGTGTCAATCATTCTGTCAAATTCATTAAAACAACTTATTAAAAACGATGTTCCAGACTTTTGTCAGCCTTATATTGACTTCAAAAATTGTTATTGTTCTATTGAAAGTAAACATTTAAATATTGCTTTCATGGTTGCAGATTAATTAAGAAAATTTCAAATTCCTGTCAAAAAATGGTTTTCAAGTTTTGACCTAACAGTATAATTGTTCAGTGTTGGGAGCATTCATGTTTATAATTTTCTCATTTGAACAGTGATTCAGTTTTAGCCATGCATTATATTCATAAGGTAAACCCAACAGGCTGACATGACAAGTTTTGAGAAATTTAATGATATTTGTAAATGATAAACAGGCGTTGTTTTCAGTGAATTACATAAGATTTTTATGTGTGTGACAATACTGTAAATCACTTCTATTTCCACAGATATTTTCACAATGGCGCAGCGCTATTTGAAAACTTATTCTCAGAATTTCTATTTATATGTACTTGAATAATCATTATTTTTGAGGCTTCAATTTGCTTCACAATTGAAATTCAAGTTATTTAAAAGGTGTTAACGTTATCTAGCAAAATGAAAGTGGTTTACAGTATTGGTGTAATATTGTGATTTATATATGTACACAAACGTACATATTCTTACATATCAGTCTGACATTCCTTATATTATATACTTGTTATGGTACAGTACCAGGTACATGTAAATCCTATTATTGTCTAATGCAGTCTCACCTTGTACATGCTTACTACACAACATATGAAGTAATGCAGATGGTGCAATACATCTTGGCCTAGTTTTTTCAAAGTCTGATCAACTTAATTAGCACTAAATCAAAAAAAAGAATCGGGGGGAAGATGTTCAAAAGAATTTAAGGTCAAAATTATATGTCTGAAGATAAGGAAAACAAAAAGCATTTGTAAATGTTCAAATATTTCTCAGAAATACATTTAGCATGCTGGAGCTCAGAAATAGCATGTTGAAATTTGTGTTAAGGTGTCGTTAAGCTAACCAGACTTTAAGAAACTGATCCCTGGTATATTATCACACTATCATCTGTATCTGGCTATCCTATAATCCAACCTGTCTCTTGTCAGTAGTAGTAGCTGGCTAGAACTTGGAAAGAGTTACACCCCTTCAGTCAAAGCAATAAAGAAATAGTCAGTTTGTGAAAATTCGTTTTAGATATTACTGTTTTCTTGTCGTAGATCTGTTATTTGTTTCAATTCCTTGTATTTTATTTGAGAGAGTAGTAATACCAAGTATTTCTAATGTTGTCCATCTCAGCTATAATTTTATAGTCAAACAGATTGATCTGAAAGGAAATCAAAACGTTTAGCAAGGAATGTTGATTTTTAAATCTCTGAATTTTTTTTCAAACCATTTTTGGTAATTTTTTCTTACATATCTGCCAAAACATTTATGTACTGTATATAGTGAGTGCTATTGTGTAAATAACACTTGTACATGATCTGAAATAAGTAATGCTTTAAAAAATTGTTGATATTTATTACAATATCTGCAATAATCGATAATGACAGGTAACTGGATTAGTGATCTCGCCTTTTATTGTGCAATGTAATGCAGCTACCATATCTAACTATGATGACCATTCGTTCCATTATGTATATTATTTTGACTTGGACCAAATAGGCCTTGTATTTACACAGGATAAGTAATACCTGTACTGTCAGTACCCAACTGATCTAATTAATCCTCTGATTGATGATTAGTGTTTATAACAGAATTACTTAGTATGTGTAATATTAAATGTTTAATTTAGCTTTTAAAAATCTTATCTTACATGAGTTTCCATTTCATATGAAATGAAAACGAGTGTAAGACCCGTTATCACATTATCAAGATTTGTGGCAGTTATTCGTGTAAATCAACATTAATTGTAATGCAACCTTGTAATGTAAAAAGCCACCATTTTGACTCCAGTGCGTAAGTCTGTGACGTCATGTACTTGTCCTAGGTGTGACGTCACAATTGAAACTTACAACCAATCACAGGTTATATTTCATGGGTTAATACGCCAAAAAATATGACATTGGTATATTCACTGGATAACACACTACATTATGTGATAAAAGTGTTTATTTTTGTCATGTATACAAGAGTGATGCAAGAAAGCAAATTTAAATTTATAGTTGGTAAATCATTTAAAGTGCTCAATTTGAGTAACCTATTATGTTTCAAACCATGCCTATTCATTGTGCCATTTCTTTTTTTAACTCAGAGCAATAATGTTTTTGAAAGGTATGGTAATGGTTTTTTTCTAATTTGAATATCCTCATATTTTGCTCATCGTCTATTTAAATAACGTAAAGTAATACATTTCGAGATATTACATGGCATAATGAGGGTTTGTTTGTATGTGACAGAATTAATTTGTGTGAGTGATCAATATCGGCCTGCTCCGTATGTATACCTCTTTACCATCCAATATTAACCAGGGTTAATAATAAATTCATTGTTGAATTAAACATTAAACTTCGTTTGTTCTTTATATTCCTCGGATGTCTATTACAGGCAAAATACCTGGTGTGTTCACAAGTTAGGTCTTGTCAAAATGTTAATTTGCTTTTCATCTCAAATATGAACTTGACTTTTAAAAAATCTCCAAACGAAAAGAATATGTTGATTTCAGTCCTCAGGTCTGAAAGGCACCCGAAGAATAAACAAACTTTTAATTACATGTAAGGTCTGACATGAATTATTCAACAAAGTCACAGAGATAGAATCATTTCACATATATGAAGAGGAGCTTTAGAAACACCCCTCGCGATCTTGATTCGTGTCATTTTTTTAGAATCGGGTTATATTGGAACTTTAAATACCCAAGTCAGGTATTGGTGTGTGACTTGAACTCTTGTTTAAATTGACATAAAACTCTGTCCATGTACAAACATGAAATAAAGAGTACTAGTAAGTTAGGCATCTGGTATACACTGATGTAGGTTATCTCACCCAGCCACTGATTGGAAATTTCGATGATTTCTGATGTAAGACTATATAAAAGGTAATATGTGGGACACTGAAAGTCGGCCATAGCCAATTATTTGAACAACTGCCTCGACATGCTGCATGACATTTATCATGACTCTTGGCCTTGTAGTTCTGAATAAGAAGTGGCTTTTTAAGAAAGGTTGGTGATGAACATGGGACTATTATATATTACTGTAGTATAATCATGCGCACACACAGACTCTGGAAGACAAATTTTACTCAGTAGTGAGATACTACCTGTACCAGATAAAGATAGTGGCCTCCGCCTGTGATATGTCCCCTGAGAGATGAATGAGGTCTAGCATATGTGGTTATGTTTGGAGAGCCATTCACTTGTTATCCTAAAGTCTAAATTTGAAATGTAGCTTTATGTTGATATCGGAGGCACACTAATTGAGATTCGAGCATGTGCTACCGGTCTGAAGAACTGGACGACCTAGGGTCATAGATAGTTGGCCAGTAGGTACCTGGGATGGGGTGCTATAAAGTTTCCTCATTAAATTGACCTTGACCTACTTTCAAAGTCACTGGGGTCAAATATATATGTTAAAAATTTCAAACAACAATATCCTAAGAACTGTTTGGACTAGTCATGATATTTGGCCATGTTATGTAGACCAGCAGTGCGAATATTTTTCTCGATTACAGTAATGAGGTCAAAGGTCAACTTTAAGTGCTAGTCAGGGGTCAAATGTCAACATGGGTTAAAAGCTTTAACAATCTTCTCCTCAAGTTCCGTAAGGCCCAGGGTCATGATATTTGACCAGTAGGTACCTGGGATGGAGTGCTATAAAGGTCCCTCATTAAAATGACCTTGACCTACTTTCAAAGTCACAGGGGTCAAATATGTTAAAAACTTCAAACAACAATATCCTAAGAACCATTTGAATTAGAGTCATGAAACCTAGGTATGTTATGTAGACCAGCAGTGCAAATATTTTTTTGTATTACAGTAATGAGGTCAAAGGTCAACTTTAAGTGCTAGTATGGGGTCAAATGTCAACTTTGGTTAAAAGCTTGAACAATCTTCTTCTCAAGTTCCAAAGGATCCAGGGTCATGATATTTGGCCAGTAGGTAACTGGGATGGATGGAGTGCTATAAAGGTTCCTCATTAAAATGACCTTGACTTACTTTAAAGGTCACAGGGTTCAAATATGTTAAAGGTTTCAAACAACAATATCCTAAGAACCATTTGGACTAGTCATTCATGATATTTGGGTATGTTATGTAGACCAGCAGTGCAATTATTTTTTATCAATTTCAGTAATGAGGTCAAAGGTCAACTTTAAGTGCTAGTCAGGGGTCAAATGTCAACATTGGTTAAAAGCTTTAACAATCTTCTTCTCAAGTTCCGTAAGGCCCATGGCCATGATATTTGGCCAGTAAGTACCCGGGATGGAGTGCTATAAAGTTTCCTCATTAAGATGACATTTACCTACTTTCAAGGTCACTGGGGTCAAATATGTTAAAAATTTCAAACAATAATATCCTAAGAACCATTTAGACTAGAGTCAAAATACTTGGGTATGTTATGATGACCAGCACTGCCATTTTTTTTCTTAATTACAGTAATGAGGTCAAAGGTCAACTTTAAGTGCAAGTCGGGGGTCCAAGGTCAACATTAGTAAAAGGCTTAACAAATTTCTTCTCAAGTTCTATAAGGCCCAGTGTCATGATATTTAGCCAGTAGCTACCTGGGATGAAGTGCTATTATTGAACTTGATCTTTAGTTATAGATATGATACACAAATTTAGCTTTAACAACAATAAGACATTTGAGGTCGATGTCTTCATGAAATCACGGAAGCCTTCATGAAATCACTTTCATTTTTTTGTATATGTAACCATTGCATGAGCTCGTCATGTAATTTATAAACATTATCGTACCATTATATAAGGTTATATATACTTTATTTATACACACTTAACGTTATATCCCGGACTTAGATAGTCAAATTCCGTGGTTTTACGTCTATGGAACAGATTGAAACAAGAGAAGCTATTTTATTGCAGTCCGATACGTTTTAAAAGGGACTATTTCCAGCTATGTTAAAATTACATAGGAGCATGCCCCCTCATAACTTTTGTTTGATAAGTGCTACGAGATTTATGCTGCTAATTTAACTTTTACCTCAGGAGTTATTACTTTGAACCACTCTACCAATTATAAAGATGATTAATTACCCTTATTTCATCAGGGGGGTCAAAAATGGAATATCAGCCTAAAAGTATTTTCTGAAAAAAATCGTATTTTTTGGCATCGTAATACTTTGGAAAGGACATTTTCTTTCATGTAGTGCTTTAATAGTATATTTATCATCCAGAATGTGAGTTTAATCGAATATTTTGTGAAGATTTTAATGTAAAATATAGGATTTTTCATTCTTATCATTCTTGTTTACCAAAATATTCATAACATGAAGAAGTAGTGTTGTTTCAAATTATGCAAAAATTGAGTCGATAAAAAGTGGTGGAAAGTACACATTTTGCACAACAAAGTACCCTGTGTACCCAAAAAGGTGAATGCCTAAGACACCTCCCTGGCGTCCACCAAAAAGCAATGTACCTGATTACAGGTAATTGGTAATGAAATTACAATCAACCTTTCAGTGCATGTTAGGTCACAAACAATTCCAAATTCCAATTTATTTCATCACTTGGCGTGATTGATAAAGGGGTTTGTTAACAATCAATTGTGAGATCAATTGTTATTTTCTTGTCACTTTTTAGCTCACCTGGTCCAAAGGACCAAGGTGAGCTTATGCCATACCGTGGCGTCCGTCGTCCGTCCGTCAACAATTTCTTTAAACGACTTCTTCTTCTTAACCACTGATTGGAATTTTACTGAATTTGACTGGAAGCATCCTTAGGTGGTGGGGAATCAAAATTGTACAAATGGTGGGGCTGACCCCCCAGGGGGCTGAGGGGCGGGGCAAAAAGGGGGCAATTTGGCTATATTGCTTTAAGCGACTTCTTCTCTGGAACTAAGAGATGGATATCAACCATATTTGCCTGGAAGCATCCCTAGGTGGTGGAGATTCAAAATTGTACAAATGGTTGGGCTGACCCCCCAGGGGGCTGAGGGGCGGGGCCAAAAAGGGGGCAATTTGGCTAGATTGCTATAAACGACTTCTTCTGTAGAACTATGCACTGGATATCAATCATATTTAATCAAAAGCATTCATGGGATGCAGGGATTCAAAATTGTACAAATGGTGTGGCTGACCCCCCAGGGGGCTGAGGGGCGGGGCCAAAAAGGGTTATTTGGCTATATTGCTTTAAAGCGACTTCTTCTCTGGAACTAAGTGATGGATATCAACCATATTAGACTGGAAGCATTCCTAGGTGGTGGGGATTCAAAATTGTACAAATGGT